AAAATTTCAAGTACATAACTTTACCAGGGGCGGCTCCAGAGCACTGGGAATTGGGGGTCCTATTCGTGAAGCGAGTCATTTGGGCGAAGATCACGATGCTGCACCAGTTTTACGAACAGTGAATGAAAGGTATCATGTGATAACATATACAAAGTTATTGTGCATCCTCTTTTGACACGTTTTTGCTATAATAGGCGGATCCAGGCGCCCAAAAAGGGGGGTTATGTTTTACCTCTTAACATAGGTGCCCTGACACCGCCTATGCATGACCAATACAATTGTAGTCGTTCTCTCATAAGAAAATTGTAACATAACAAGACCATTACCACCCTTTTTAGAAACAGTACCAACAAAAACCTTATTTACTATACTTTTTGTGTACCCCCAATCTCAATGATCTGTATCCGCCTATGATTTTTGAAAATGCATATTTTTAGGATCCAAGTGAATTCCTGGTTCATTCTCTATCGATCGGCAAAAGTTGCGTTAAGATTGGTTCAGAAACCTGGCCGTGATAAACAGTCTAAAATGTATCTGCAATTTGCCCGTTTTTACCCCCCTCTACCCCCCCCCCCCTATTGACATTTTTTAATTTTTATTTTTTAGAAATGTAGATCACGTTGAGCGAAATCGAATGCCGTTTGAATTTTGAAAATCGGCCCGTTAGATCTCGAGATATCAAGGGGGGTCGTAAACAGCCCCCCCCCCCTGCCACTAATAGGGGTAGCCAGGAGCCTGCCACTAATAGGGTTAATGTCGGGGGATTTCTGTGAAAACAAGGCGTGGTGTGAGGATGGTCGATGGGAGATGTTTTGCGGGTCACGCTATGCGCTGGTCTGACACCTGTCACGTGATCTGACACACGTGACCAGGCCGACACGTGATAGCGGCGGGGCTCGTGCTCGTTTTGAAATGACTTCTCCCCGGACTGAACTGCCGAGCCGAGTCAGGCGCGTGTGGCTAGCCGCCGGCCAGACTGAAGTTATTGATATTGGGTAGTTTTGTTCCCGTCTGATTCCGTTATATCACCGATGGGAAGTGGAATTTACTCAGCGGCATATGCTGTACTAACTCCCAACTTAGCCGCTGCGCTGACTGAAATGAACCAGTCGGCCCTGCAGCCAGACGACCGTTGCTGTGTCTGCTCTGCCGGGCCGCGCCAGTGCAGCGGTGCCGTCCGTACTCGTGTGTCTGTGTGTCGGCCGACGTTCCCGCTCTGGCTCTCGCCCGCAGCGCCTCCCTCTCTCTCTGCCTTCGCCGCTTCTCTCTCCGGCGCCGTGCGGTCCCTCCTTCAGCCGCTATGCAAACCGTAGCCAGCCTCGTAGAGAGCGGCCGGGCCGACAGTAAGTGGTCTGAGCACGCGTGGAGTCTGCCGGTCCGCCGGTTCGCACTCGCTGGTGACGTCTGTCGTACTCACGGGCACCTGCCGACTGGCGTCAAAGGCACTCACTGCACCCCGAGACACCCTGGTGTTGTTCACTGACTGCATCCGCCAGCACCCACGCTGCTCACGTTTTCCACATGCTCGTCCACTCGTGATCATCTGTTCTTCTTTGACACTGTTGCACATTTTCTCCCGGGCATGGCCTTGTGGCTGTGTGGTGTCCACATTTTTGGATTGTTATCCGTGTCATTTTTCTGGACTTCTGAACACGTTTCGTGTTGCACACGCGGACGGCTGCCGTCCTCGCCTCTCACGGATGTTGCAGTGTGCATGTTGCGTCGTCCAGTCACTTGTGGCATGCTCGTACCGTCGTGGCTCGCCCCCACCGCCGTGTCACCAGAGGCGGGGTCAACTAAAGCGGGTCATCAGACGCTAGGTCATCAGACGCTAGGTCACCAGACGCTAGGTCACCAGACGTTAGGTCACCAGACGCCAGGTCACCTGATGCAAGGTCACCGGTCGCTGTGTCACCAGGCACTGGGTCACCAGACGTCAAGTCACCAGACTATAGGTCACCAAACGCCGGATGACCCGCGCTCTCCTCTTGCCGACCGGTGCCGGCGACCGGCCGTCGTTGGCGGCGTTCCGACGAACCGCCCCCGCTGTGCGGGCGATGCCGTCCCGCTGTGCCGTCCTTGGCGCACCCAGCGCTCCGTTTGTATGTTGGCAGCCTCCAGCCCCTCGGCCCCGCCCCTCAGCTCCCCGGGGGGTGCTGCGGCTCAGCGGGCTGAGGTAAACACAGGTTAACTCGGTCAGACGGCGCGGGAAACATTCCCACTGACGCCGACATAGACGGCTGAAGGTTTCCCAGTCGGAGGGCTTGGCGGCTGGATCAGTCTTGGGATAACGCGAGGTTTCTGGAGTTTCTGTACGCGTCAGCTCGTTTATCCGAACTGTTGCCGCCCTAATGATATTGTAGCATTTCATTTAAGTTTTGACTGATATTTTCCCAGTCATGAAACAGACATACTTTCGCTCTAGAGTTTCCGTATTTCCTGCTTCAGGAAGTTTCCAAGGAACGTGGACGCCTTGCCACGTTCCGTGAAGTATTCCATCAATGTACTGAATCTCGAGCAGCTGCGGCCTGCTTGGTCTGTGACGCCAGGCCCGTGGTCTTAGTCTGTCCCGCCCAGTCGACCGCCATTGCCCCTCAGTTCGGCCAGCCGTGCATGGTCCACGGCCATTGGTCGTTTCAGCTCCCGTGTTTGGTGGTGGTGCCGGCACCCATTAGGTCACGCGGCTGGCCTGCCAGGGGGTGAGCGGTGGTACTCGCCGGGTAAAAGAGAACTTAGACGATGAGCTCACGCCGTCGAGCTAAGCTAAGCGTTAGAATAAAGTGAGCTGTGACATCTGAAAACCGGCGGCCACGGAGATGCATTTGAAATAATGTGGAGGCTGTCTCACGCTCTGGGCCTGATGTGGACGCTGTTATGATTGCCGAGACAGCCGGCCCCTGGGTTTCGAGCCAGGTTAAATTAATGAGCAGGGTACTCGACCCCAATGTGCATTACGGCGCGCCAGGTCGCGGTGAATGTCGAGCGCTCGTGCAGACCGGCGCCGAATGGATTTGTGTCCAAAGGTCAGCACGGGAGGGTGGCCGGCCGCCCGTTTGCTCGCTCGTGTGAGGCGTGCCTTGTGGAGTGCCCTGAGATTTGAGGGTGCTTTGTACCCACCGCGCTGGACGGTTGGACGTATATGCGAGGTTTCACCAGCGGGGTGTACAAATTCAGCCACTCAACAGAGGTCAGTGCGGCTGCTTCAGCTGGCTTCATTCCGTGATTCAGCTGTACCGCAACCTCCTGATGGGGGATACAATATTGTGAACGACCTAATCGTAATACCGCGGCGAGGATCTGCATCTTTCCTTATGCTATCCATCACGTTTCACACGGCATGTATCCTCACAGCACCGCCCTTCGCCGGTTCCCGAACTGGCCTAGCCGAAAATGCTGGATCTCAGCTGTGCCACTGGTGTGCGTCTGGTTTTGTGTATCTGTCTGTTTGTATGAAGTGTTTGCGTGTATGTGTAAACTGTGTGTGGTCTGTTTTAAAACAGCATGCTTCTGTGTGAATGAACTGCGAAAAATTTGCGGAAAAGAATCTCTTACGTCAAAAAGCCGTCTTGTTATGTGAGCTCCTATCGCGATAACGGCTAATATCGCCCATTGAGTGAACAATATGCTTGAATATTGTGACCAATCAAACAAGGCAAACACATTTCCCGTATTTGATTTATAATATTGATCAACATGGGGTGCCTCGTTTTTTATTTCTTTGATTTTTCAATTTCATTCCATAACAACCATTGTTTTGCATCTCTTGCACCTGTGGGGTTATCGATCGACTCTTAGTTGAGAGTTGGTGTGATGATGCGACTGCAGAATGTCCCGAAACCATGGTGTAACACGCGTCTATAGATATAGAACCCATTGCCCAATATTCCAGTGAACACTTTCCGTCAGGATCAACCGATCGACATCCTATAAATGGCCAACGGATTCTCTCCATTTCGTTCTGAATACCAGTCTGAAGGCCGGGTCCTACTGAATAACTGCGCGGTTAGTCGCTCAATCCTGCGCTACAACCGCGCCGTTGTGTCTTACCTGAACGGCCTCTTTTCCAATTAGGTCGGAACTTCTACCGATTGTTGCCGCTGCGGCTTGCCTTGACTCAGTGAATATGCTAGGGTATCTTCGAGACCGGGCCATAGTTTACTATCCGCTGTCGTTGTTTGATCTTGCTTTTGGGTAAATTGAAATATGTTAGGCAATATACATACTCCGAGCAATGCTAGGTTGCTGGGCCTGTTTTACGCCCATTTTTATAACTTCGCAACGAATCAACCTTTTTACTTTTACTTTGTTCTATGTACGTCCGAACGTACACAAATCTAAGCGGTGTAGTGTTATTTCAACTTCTCGTCATGTTCATAACTACACCGACATTTAATCCGTTTCGCCATCAGCCACCGCGCCTGGCGGTTCCATTCGCACCATTACCACCGTCCCCAACACCAGGCAGCGCCGCCGTGACAGCGGTAAATGTGTGACCGGCCAGCACGGCCCTGGGCTACACATCACGGCCGGCGCCGGTAACGGTCACGACACCGATTCCGCTAACGGCTGACCGGCCGGCCGGCGTGTTGCTCCGTTCTTTTTACATTAATTGTCGGGTGTTGGATTTCAAATGCAGCACATAATATTGGGGGGATGTTTTTCTTCCCTGAGTACTTTTTGACTCTTCAATCCGTGTTTTATTCTTGCACATTACTTAGCAATTCGTATCCAACTCATTCCATTCACATCTTTGATACAGCTTCCTGAATTGTCGTCCCCATTAGCGATAGGTGTTCGCCAAGCATATTTTCTTCCTAAACATATTCACGATAAATCAGCAAAGCGGTGAGCTCCCAATTTCGGCCGAGCTGAGATCGGCCTTCTATTCTGACGTGTCCGCTGCAACGTCTCGTATCGCCCCTTGTTGACACCACACAACGTCTCGTTCCCTCCTGTGTTCTGGAGTTCTGACGGTCCTGTCTGACCCCTTCTGTCGCCAGTTCCGGCGATCGTAGTGTGTAACGGCTCGGCGGGAGGAGCTGTCAGCGGCACACCAGCGGCGCCCTCGGAGATGCCCAGTGAATCGGCACCGGCCAAACAGGTCCGTACCGGCGCTGAACGGCGCTCATCGGTCGTATATGGCGAGGGGAGACCGTCCTCACAGGGCATGGTGTGGATGATGCAGGACAGGAAGTATAAGGGTCAGCTGTGCGGTGGTTAGTTCATAACATCTTCTCTGTATGGCTGTATGCATCCTTGGACAAAATGTTCCCCAACTTTTCGGATGTAGGTATTACTCTGCGCAAAGGCTATAGATTGGGTCGCGATTGCTTTCAAAGCCAGTGCTGTGTTTTGTGGCGTGCTCTGCCTCTGGCTTATGTTCTGGATTGGAAATGCTAAGCAGTCAACGTAACACTGACTATTCGCTCTGCTGTTTGTGTAGCCCATTCCCTGCTCAATTGACTGTATCGAACGCTTGAATTCCAATCACGGCGCCAGCAAACAACGTGCTTGCTCGCCTTTGGCGCGTCTCAGTTTTATTTTCATTGCAACTAATGCGGTCAGAATTTCGCCCACGCCCGGCGGCGGCGGAGTGTCGTTTCCGCCGGTGGAGGTCGGGTCAGGCCCTGCCACGTGCCGGCCGCCGCACGGTTCGTATTGACCCCGTGCGGCGGCGGCGGCGGTACCGCAGTGACGTCATCACTGACCGGTACCTGGCGAGTGGCACACGACGCACCGCAGGACCTCCACCGGGTGGGAGCGATGCGGGAAGAAGTACCGATGTGCTGGGATCTGACCGGGGAATCCACGGGTACTCACCCAGCTGTGACGACGCCGATGTTTGCGCTCTGTGCGTGACGTGCCCTGTGTATTGATTGGGAGAGACTGCACAGACTTCCCGCAATATCCCGTGAGATCTACCACGCGACGTCTCGGCCTGCTTCTTGGTATCATGGTTCTGGCTGTATGTGACTGAAATTCCATATCCCTTATGAAATGCTCAGGAGAGTGTGAAGAATCGTTTCCTGCCCATTTCGATGCTCTAACCGTTGCGTCTCTGCCGTTTTTTAGGAAGAGGTGCTTGAGCCGGTGTCTGCGGCCGAGGAGGGCGCTCCGGCCCGGAACGGCACCGGGCCCGGACCCGGACCCGGACACGGTCCCGGCGCCGGTCCGGGCGGCCCGGAGCGTCCGCCGACCTCCGGACTGACCCGGCAGAGCCGGAGTCTGGAGCTGCCGGCGCAGAACAGCGAGCACGGCCCGCACACACTGCCCAGACAAAAGGTGAGCGAGCGGCACACACCACCGAGACAGAATGTGAGCGGTGGGACAGACTGCCCAAACAAAAGGTGAGGGAACGGGAGGCATTGCCCAGGCAAAAGGTAGGGGACGAGACACACACAGTAAGTACAGGCAAAAGGTGAGGGGCGTCACACTGTGCCGACAGCAGCTACATCTTGGCTGCTGGCAGGCAGGACACACTGCCCAGGAATAAAATGCCACTGACTGACCGAGAGACGGCAAATACTGTCGGAGAGTAAGGGGCGGCTGATACTGCTCTGGCAGAGAAATGTCGGACCCAGATAGAGCTGGACGAGAGTGGGTTACGGCGCACGCTTCTCAGAACAGCCATATACCGGCCGTAGTGTCCGTACAAGTCGCGTCCAACTACCGCGTCGGAGTAAGGGCGTACCGCCGTGCCCAGCTATCCCCTAATTACGCCGAAATTGAAACCGGGAATGTGACGGAGAACGCTGCAATGTAACGTCCATCCGGGCAAATGACCGAGAGAACTACGTATCATAGAAGTTCCACCGCGCTGCCAAGGTCAAGGCCAAGCTCAGAATATGTGAGGCTTCTGTAGAAGTTTTCATACATGTTGAACATCGCATTAGGCTAAGGCGTAGATGGCTTTTGTAATGAGAAGACGGCTTCCATTGTATTTGATCATCCATCCTACCTACTTGGTGTTTTTAAAAGTACAAAAGTTCTTTTGTATTTCTTTCTGAGAAGATAAAGGTGTTGTTTTCCTTTGAACTGCTGTCGAATTTCTTTGCTGCTTCGGTCCGTGACTGTTTCTGTGTTGTGTTTCACATTGATCTGGACGGGCGCCTGTTTTCGGTTTGGGCCTGTGCCGAGTGGTTGTGAGCTCGGAACCACGCCCTTACCCCCGTCCAGCGTTGTTTGTCATGGCGCAAACGTTGCTGCCAGTCGTTTGATATGAGGGAATGGAATACTGGATGACGTGAGTTAAATCAGTCTGCCTCATTCAGGCTCGCGATAGTTTATTATTCAATCGATTCGTAATTTAATCCGATTGAAAACAAAGGTGTTTTTCGGTTTGGCGAGGGCCTTAGAAAGAGAAGGTTAGACTGGCCACGGTTGGCTCGCGATTGTGGCCCACCGTTCGATATTCATTGTGCCAAGATACAATGTACCGCTTGTTTGCTGCGATAAGCTCTTTCACCCATGGCAGTTAATTTAACCGCAGAACTTCAAGAGATGTAAGCTAAGGCCACCTCCTACAAGGAGAACATTGAACTCTGAAGGCGAGCATTATTCATGCGTCTGCAGAGGGCGAGCTGAGCAACTAAGATAGACTGTTTTGAAATGTTGACAGGCACCGAACTACATGGTGTATTTGACAGACTGGAAGTCGAAGAGTTAGTAAGGCGCCAAAACAGCACCAGATTCGCCTTAGTTAACGGAAATAAAAGATTGGCCTGGCTCCATAGCAGCACACCCATCTGACTAGTGCCGACCTTTGGCACCCATTACCGTATCCGCCCGTTCCCGTGAACCCCGTCCTGCACGGCCTCCCGCTCTGACGGGGGTTCACAGGAACCCTCAGACGGTCTCCCCCTGTGTCTCTGACGCCACTGGGTGCGTCTCTGACGTCACTGGGTGCGTGTCGGGCCGTACTGGCCACACTGGAAATAGCCGCCGGCCAGTCACCTGTCGGCGGAATGTGTGACCGCGGTGACCGCGTGTATTCGGTGCACGTCTCCGGAGCGCCAATCACGCTACATGGTCACCGTCGGCCAATCGACTGGGGTCACCAGTGACGTCAGAGACACAACAAACGCCGAGCCGGCTGACCTGGCGGTAATTCGAGAACAAAGAGCTGGGGTTTTGTGTGCTGTGGCCTTCGAGGTGACGAGGGAGGCCGCGGTTCGATCCTGAAAGCTTTCGGGGGAATGAATTGATGTTTGCTGTTTTTTTTCGAGCTGTAAATTAAGTGGCTCGCGCAGATACGTCAGAGCGTTGACCGGCTTTATGCGCTGATCGGTTGTACCTTAGGATCCTGGTTTCACAGTGAAGACCTGATTGATCAGAGTACCACGCCCTTTTTTACCGCTGGCCTCTGGGACGCGGCAGCTTGTGGCTGCTCCCACGCTACAATAATCATCCGCCAGAATAAATAATGACGTATCGATCAATGGACTGACTGTGATACTGATGCTCCGGTCGTCCCGTTTGTAGCACTCCGTCTGCCCTGGTGTCAGGTTAGGCACGGTTTTTGATTCACCGAAGTTTGCCCCGCTGCTGTTTTATGCTGATTGATGCGTGCCGCTAGTTCGTTCATCGATCTTATTGACGCCTTGGCAAGACAGTAAATAAGACTGATTGTGGCGTGGGCTTTTGGGGAAAACGTTAAACAATGGACAGGAATTCGGATGGTAGTTTGATGATGATCACATTGGTGGCAAAAAGAAAAATTTGGAATTCAGCTCACATGTGGCGACTGCCTGGCATTGATCCACTGTTATTGATATTGGAGCTGAGCGTGTTAGTGTGTTAGTCTGCCTTTCTCTCACGCCATGTAGCTCCGTCTGTATGTAGTGGCATAGCTGTGACCTGTTCCACTCGCCAACTCCCTGACTGACATCTCCCCCCCCCCCTCCCCCTCAGAGCGCGCGGCTCAAGGTACTGATGCGCAGCCACGCCATGCGGGAGGAGACGTCTCCGCCCCCGGAGGTGGACGCGCCTCCGCCGCCGCCGCCGCCGCCTCCTCCACCGCCCCGGTACTCTCTGAACGTGTCCCACGGCCACAAGCTGCGCAAGTTCCACAGCCAGGGCAGCGCCGAGGGCCGCGCCGGCAGCCCCCATCTGTCTGCAGGTGAGCCGGGGATCGGACTGGATGGGTATATGGGGGGGGGGGGGGTATGACTGGACGGCATTGAGGGTGGCTGGGGAAGGGACTAGTAAGGGTAGGTAGAATGAGGTGCGATTGGGTTATTACGGAGCGAGCGAAGCGAGCGGAGTCTTTCCTTAGATTAACGGAAATTTCTGAGTATCAGCGGCCGGCCGGCGTGCCGTGTGGACGCTTTTGCGAGGCTTATATCTCAGCAACCACTTGACCGATTTACACGCGGTAATTTTTGTAGGGTAGCTTCATTCCTTCTACCAAGCATTGGACTATTCCCGATGCATGTGGGTGACCCCTTATGCACGTGCCAACCCACTAGGCACTGCATATCCATGCGCCAGACTTGGGGTGCTGCTGCACGTGCGCACTTGCAGGGGTCGTTTCCAGATCTCGAGAACGGCTGGACCGATGGCGCTCAAATTTGGTTCACGGTTAGGGACCAGTTAGTAGGGTGCCGTGCACAAGTCAGTTGGGACCCATTTTGCACGTGCGCACGTGCAGGGTACCGCTTCCAGATCTCGAGAACGGCTGGGCCGATTGTGCTCAAATTTGGCACATCGCTAGAGACCGGTTAGTAAGGTGCCGTGCACAAGTCAGTTGGAGGTACCCCCTCGAAATTTCGCACGTGCAAGGCCCACCCTCTCGCTCGCTCCGTTAGTCGCCCCAAAAGGCGTTATACTGGTGTACTATATGCTACGATAAATGGTTTATTTCTGGTGATTCTTAGCTCGACCATTCTAAGTTGGTGGCTGCTGTGTGTGCCTTCTTTGGTGGCACACGTATGCAACGTGTCCGAATATGCCTTTTCGTGAATATACCCATTGTCGCGATCTTGACCGTCTGACCCGTCGTGTGACTGCATGGTGTCTGTGCGCGTTTCAGAGTCGTCTGGCGAGGTGTACATGGACAGTAAGGGCGTGGATGTGGAGCAGTTCCTCGTGGAGGCGCTCAATGCCAACATCAAGGACCAGGCCCACCTTCTCAAATACGAACAGGACATGCTGCACTTCATCAAAGATAACTCGTGAGTAGCGTGCTGCGTTTGGAGTGGTCTGTGTGCTCCTGTACACTGGCTTGGTAGGGCTTGGTGGCTTGGTACGGGCTTGGTAGAGGATGCGTCCCACGCGGAGGCGAGGGTCTTCGAGGCCTTTAAAACTTACGAGTGCTGAACGCTACTGAATTCGTAACTTTATTTTTATGAATTATCAGTTCTGACTCCTGCTTCCTACCATTAGCTTTCCAAGAGGCCTGACCTATAATCGTGGACTCCTGAACTAAGGACATAACATGTTCTTCATGCACTATTTATCTACCCTCTTTGTCCGGTGTAATGTTGACGAATCCTCGGTGACCTGAGATGTCCCCGGGAGGCCTCACGTTTGACAGGGTCCCGTGTAAAGGTTTACAGTCAGTCACCCGCTATTCACAGCTGATATTGTGCTTCGAACCCCTGTCGATAAACAGAGCCCAAGTTGGCGGTGTGGTCTTCACAGGACACCACAGGAGTGCTTTAAATATTTATCCGAGCCGGGGTTTCCATGTTGCGGCGCTTTGGTTCATTTTAATAAGCGCATCTGACATGAGTTTGATGTTCGGCTCTGCCATTCCCAGCCCCAAAAGGCTGAGTTATGATCATAGAACCATCTCGCGACCACTTACGACGTAGCTGACGAAATCAGGCGGATGCTTCCATAAGGACTGAGCTTAAGGGCCTCAGCAAATGTGTTATATATTTTATTCCAATGGTGAACCTTATCTGTATTAGCTCTAAAGACATAACCAAAGCATCACTGACGGCAAAGCTACATTCACAGTGCAAACTGCACACGCATTATAATCGCTTAGTAGTGCATTGGAGTCGGACTAGTCTTTAATTTCGATTTTTTGTTGCTCGAACTTCAGCCTTAACTAGTGGATCGAGAAACTAGAATCGCGAAGTTTCGCCGCTAAGTTGCGAAGTATGTGTACACGACATGTACATTGCCTGCAGGCCTGCATACATTACTACTAATCAATTGGGGAGAAAATTTATGCATTGTGCATACGACGGACGCTGCCCATAGTTCTACTGAAACTGATGACTGCCGATATGGCGTTTCGGCGGACTCTGGGACTCCTCTGAGGCTGGGCCACCGTTCTCCCACCACCGATGGCGCAGCATTTCGGGAGGGCCGGCTCCCCACTATGTGACACTGATCGTGGAGTGCTGTCTCAGCACCTGGTTCTCACCTTTAACCTATGTAACCGGTCGCCGCCTGCCATCGGTCGCCGCCTGCCTGGTTACTGTTACTTGTCTTAAAAGTTGTCTGATTTATTGCGACGCCTGCCGTGTCGCAGAATCGAGCCAACGGTCAATTAGAGTGACCGAATTTGGCGATTACATAACCGTGCCACTTCGATAGGTCGGCCCCTAACCAATCAGATGGAAAGTCACTCGGTAGTTAGGCAGGTCGCGGAATCGGGAACGATTGATGAGAAGGAAAACTGCGCTCAATTGGATATACTTTGATACAACTTGGCTGTAAATATTTTGCCTACCTCTGGAACTTCGTTATCTTAGTTTATCTAACTTGATAATTTGAAGCGCTCCCCGCCTAGTTCCGAATCAAATGTCACCATGCTCTCTGTGCCCATTCCGTGGCTGGTGTGCCGCTCACGTACTCTCGGGCAGCGCGCATTGGCCCACATGTGGTTTTCCCAGTGGCTGTGACCTACAGTACGCCTGGCCCATAAAGGGAGCGGGCACCGGGCGGCGGCCTGGCGCGGCCTTTGTCGGGATTTCCTTTGACCCGGGCGGCGCGGGGGAACCGTCTGGACTTTGGCTCTGTGACCGGCGGTCGCGTCCGTGGGCGGACCGTCAGATCGGGGAAAGGTCGGGGCCAACCCGGGGAGAATAGTCTGGGAGCATACAGGAGCTGGTAAGGAAGCGAGTGTGAGATGCTGGCGAAACATATCACCACGGAACTCTGTCGAAACATGCGGGTCATGGGTGAATAGCTTGGAAAAGATGAAAGCCATTTCTCGCGAGGTAAAAGGAGCGAGAAGGCTGTTGCTCTGAAATCTTATACCGATACCATCACCGGGCTACCAAACTGAAACTCTTCTCGATGTTCAAGCCTTGTCTGGGGGGCTGAACACCTTTCTTTGCTTTGTGTTCGAGTCTGCAGTTGGTCATTGAACCCCACACTCCTATCGGTGTCAATATCTTATAAGGAACCCCGCCATTAGCAGTCTTTGACGTCATTTTTCTGGAAGGACAAGGCCGTGAGGAGGCGACTCCTGCTGACCTCTGAAGGTCACCAAACCCCGGGGCGGGTGTCTGACCAGACAGGAATGGTTGATGATCGTGGGACGGTACCCCTCCGTGGCTGGGGGCCGGTCGGTCAGACAGACGGTCTGGTCACGGTCAGCGCCGCCCGCGGTAGTCAATCGGCTGATTACTGGGCCGGTATCAGTCGACTGGGCGGCACCACCAATCACACATGCCAACAGAGGGGGAGGGTCAGACACGACAGGCGGCTGACCTCTGCCACACACCGGCCTGCAGACATCCCTGGGTGGTGTTTTTGGACGGCTGGAACGTCAGTAGGGTGAAGTGGGAGGTAGTGGAGCAGAAATGGGTTACACACGGGTGACAATGGTAACCCCTTTGTTTTGGCCTACTCCGGAGTGTCAGACGTGGCCTACCCCGAACGAAGAACTTGATTGCGAGATTGAATATTACAATGATTATTGATTGCAACTTGCAAGTTTATGGCTGTTCCTGCAATTGTTTTCCGTCGAGGTCGAATGAATCGCCGGCCGGACCGATCACCCTGTGGCTGATTGGCGTTGAATTATGTCAAGTTGCGCCGTTCCACCCTGTGACTCGTTTCCGAGTCGTGTAACGCTATGGCGATCCGAGTTCGAGCGGCGCTCTGTGTGGCCACAGTGGTGATTTGGCCCCATCGGCGGCCTCGTTTGGGGCCGTGGCGGCCGGCCGGCACGCGACCGGTCGCTGACCGAGAGCCGACAGACAGACTCGGTGACCCCGGCGCGACCTTGACCCTGTCCCCGCTCTGGCGCTGGGGGGGGGGGTGAACTTTGGTCCTGTTGCTCAGTCAGATTTGCTGGGATGTATTGCTGGCGTTGTGAAGTAGCGCGATGATAGTGACTCGGAGTATCGACAGTTGCGCTGAGATTGAGACTATTGGTTCGATAATCAAGACACTTTCCTCGTCCTGACTTGGGCGCTTCAACTGACCTTCCGCACGCTTTCTGCACCTTTGCTCCGACCCCGAAGACCGTCTACCGTCCTTGACCCCGCCGCCCCGTCCTTGAGCTGTGTCACGACCCCGCCTCCGCCTCCGCTGCGTCGTCCGTCTGCGTGCCATCAGAGACGTCACGAGAGAATGGCCGCGGCCGGCGCACGGCACGGTATGGATTCATAGCACACAAAACATCGGCCGAACGCATTCACCGAGCGAGCTTATTCCGGGAAGCTGGCGATAAGGCTGTTTGTCGGTGGTCCGGGCCGCCGCAGTATTTGCTGGCGTGCCGTGTTTTCTGAATGGAGCTGGGCCGTGTGGGCGGCTCGGCGGTGTGCCGGGGCTGTGCGGTCGGTGTGTCTGGGTGGGCGGCTCGGCGGTCGATGGGAGGACGACCTCAGCTCGCCGCCGCCGCCAGCCGTGACCGTCTGCCGGCTAATGAGTGTCTAAAACATGCAGTGCTACCCGCGCGCCGTCACCCGCCCACCGTCTGCCCAGGGGCGGCGGCGGACTATCAGATCGCTCGCTCTGTTTAGCGCCGCGCTGGGGTTCGCGGAACGACTGGAATGATTCCACGACAGGCCCAGGCTGTATCCTGCCTATATCCAAAGCTCAGTGCGGCAACTGGTGGCCGGACTCGGGCCCGATGTCCACGAAGATTGGTGAGACCGACGGGCGGGTGGCCGTTGTGCTAGATTTACGTTAATACGCCGGGAAGATTCCCGCGGCGGGCTGCCGAGAGTCCGCGTTCCGGCGAAAGATGGCGCCGTCAGCGCCGCTCCTCCAAGCGTTTGTTTTATTCCTTGCAGAAATGAAATTGAAGGCCTTTCGACGAATTTCTCGCGAGATGTTTCTGAGATGTGGGAATGATGTACGAATAAATAAGGAATTAGATTGGCCCGCCCTCGGCGTTGATATATGGATAGCTGGGATGTATCTTGTAGTGATGTCAATTTCAGAAAACATGTGTCCAATGTCCGTCCAATGTCCAATGCTGGCGTCGACTGTCCGTCCAAAAATGTCCAAGCCAGCCATTTGTCCAAAGATGTCCGACATTTACGCAATAGTTTACACTCAACACCGTTATTTAATTTGCTGTCAATGCATCGTTACCAGCTCAAAAGTGTTAATCATATCGAAAGCTGGGCTTTTTAATAGCCAATCAATGTTAAACACGATCACTTTATAAAAATGTTGAGGTGTAGCAAGCGATTGTCCAAAGTTGTCCAAAGCCTGCTGTCATTGTCCAACCGAATTCCGAATTGGACATTGGACAAAATCGGAATTCCGAAGATTCAAGTTCCGATTGACACCACTAGTATCTTGCTCGTCATCCATTTTGAGTGTCGGGATTCGGTTAGCGGCAGGAAGCAGTGGTCTTTTTGGTATTCTTGTTAGTCTGACGGAGTACAGTTTAGCATTCGTTGATGTCGAGAACAAGGGGCTTGTGACATCAGATAATGTAAATATCTTGATGCTCCATGTTTGGTGTTTCATGCTCACCTGTCTCTAGGTAATATCATTTTCAGGACCTCTTTCGTTTTGTGCATAGGTTTGGCCCAACTTGTAATTTATTCTACACCAGCGAGTGCGAAATGCATGCTTTGAGTCTTGCTTTTCCATTTTCAAACAACTCGGCAGCCATCACCTTTCCCTTTCCATTTCCCTCCAGCCGGGGGTGGTCTGCGTCGGTCGTTTGCCGTTGACGGACCATTAGAGGCAGGAGCCCTCCATACCGCGGTGTCCTAAACCAGCCATTACCCGAGCACCGGCGGCGCCGCGCCGGCTGGCCGACCTCCCTCGCTCAGAGTCGGCTGCAGATGGCCGGTAAGTACGCAGCGGCGCCTCACCTTTGTCGCTGTCCGCCCCCGCGCTTCCGCCGCCGCCGAGACTTGGCTGAGTATTGATGGGGCGGCATTAGCAGCCCAGACAGACGGTACTGAATATCCAGATATGGGTAGCGGTATAGACTGGGATTTCAGGGAACCGATGGGGAGTCAGAGCTTTCTTGGGTAGTGCTGCTTACCCATTCGCCCTACAGATGTCTGGCTGTTGGAGGAGAACGGTGTTGAGAGCACGCTGTCGGAGACTCGACGGTCGCTGATGGAGTCAGTAGTGGACGCGTGACTACCACCCCGGCCACCCATCCGACCTCCGAAGCCAGCCCTCCGATAAACTCGGATTACCACGGCTCTGCTCTGGCTGGTTAGTGGCCGCTGCCTGCCGGTCGGCTGGTGAGAACCACAGACGCCTTATCGGAGCCGTAGCGCGGCCGTGACCGTCAAATTCAACCGCCAGAGAGGGTGCTGATCGCCGCTGGAACGCCATATGTAACTGACCCGGCGGCAGGCAGATGCCGGGCCTGGTGGGGTCGCTTTGACGTTTGCCTGGTTCAGCTGTCGTCAGCGTCCACTCTACTACAGCAGAAGCCGCAGTTTGGCACGGTGGTCGGTGGGCTGGTCGGAGCAGGGTTAACCCGCGCCCGGCTGGGGGTCCTGGATTTCCACGCCCTGCTGGGGGGGGGGGGGGTGTTTGAACACCCCCCATTCTAACTCGGCTCCTGGGCCACGTAGCGATACGCGGAAAGCGGCGTTCGATAGAGCGTCAAAAATAATGAGGAAATCACTTCGGTCAATTTTTTGGTCAGGTCAAAGGTCAGGTCACCAGAGGTCATTGAAGGCAAAATTTCGCCGATTTCCAGGTCGAATGTCGACAATTTCCAAGAAGCCAACGCATAACTCGGGAACCAATAGAGCTACAGCGCCGCGGAAAAGCGCATTCGATAGCCCTATTAACGCCCTTTCTGAGTAATTCTCTCAGATTTGACCTAACGTCAACGGTTTTGCCTGCAGGGGGCAAAAACTGCAAAAATAGCCGATTTTTTCGGAAACAGTTTTTCTGCAATAACTTTTGACCCAAGCCGTGTACGAGCTTACTTTTACCGGCATCGTGTTCCTCTCGTCAAGACGCATCAAATGAACTATAACTTGACCTTGAAAGGTCAACTTGAAAATTTGACCTCAGGTCAAGGTCATGACCTGACCGAAAAGGGTCATGTTGCATATCAGTCGATCCGTATCGTCGAGCTGAACACATCTAAGGCGTTTTCATCGCTCTAGCATGCCTCTATCAAAAGTTATTTGCAAAAAACTGTTAGATACCATTCGTGACCTAAGATGACCTCAGGGCATAAACAGGGGTCACGGACACCATTTTCATGTTCAGTGTGTCTAAACCACTTGTAATTCAGTGTTTGGGAGTGTTTATAATGTCTTTCGTCCAAAAGAGGCGCATTTCAATTTTCTCCCATTGACTTATAATGGGGAGGTCGCAAAATTGACCTGACCTTATGTCATCGATATCAAAATTCTGAGATATACATTTTGTACATGCTATTGCTCTTAGCAATCGCTGAAAGTTTCAAAGCGATCGGTCACTCGGTGTAGCTATGACAGACATTGAAACTTTTTATGAGGTGAGGTCACTTCAAGTGACCTGGTGACCTGACCTTGAATGACCTTGGTCTGAAATTTTCACAACATGTGTAGAATTGATGTATGATAAGGTGTACCAAAAACGGCGGCGCTCCGCGCCGCCGTTTTTGAGATATTCGCGAAAAACCACAAGGGGGGTGTTCAAACACCCCCCCCCCAGCAGGGCGCGGGTTAACCGATAACGACCAGCAGGTCGACGCCCGATGGCCTTCTGAGAGCTCGTCATTGACAGTCGTACTTACACTGACATTGACACTGAGGCTAACGCTGCTGCAACTCTGCAACTCTAGCTCTACTAGTGGAGAAGCTCAGAACCGCGAATGGGGAGCGCCGTCGATAACATCATTGATCGGGTGGGTGGCGAGCGGGGGTGGTGCCGGCCGGTGCCGGGTGCGACCTCGACCCCGAACCCGACCCCGACCCCGACCCTGACAGAGTCCCGACCCCCGAGCTCGAAGTTCGATTCCAAGTTCGCCCTCCGAGTGGCGCAGGTCGGAGCTATGCCGATCCCGGCCCACGCTATGTTGTTTTTCCCCGGCTGGATCCCGAGGGCTGTTCACGGGCCCTGTGTGCGGTCGGACCGCACACAGTCTCGAAGCTCCGCCCACTGCGTCCCTACGTCAGCCTTCCGTCACCGCACACAGCGATCGCTGTGGCCGGTCGGGACTGGCCACAGCGGACCGTCCACCGCACGCAGCCGTGACGTCAGAGCCGCCTACCCATCCCCTACCCCCACGCCTGCTGGACGCACCGCACACACTGCACGCAGCAGTGTGCGGTGCCCATGAACAGCCCCCCGATTGTGACCCCGGTCTCCCCGAGTTCTCTGTTCGAGCTGTGCTCGGGTCGATAGTGGGCGGGGCTGGAGACTTCGAAAACAGCGGGCAGCTGCAGAGGATGGGACTTTTTACTGATTGTCTCTCAAAGCTGATGGATAAACACTTGCATGAGGAAAGGATGGGAGAGACTCAAGAAAATACCTAACTACATAAACTAGCTTCCCCAGTGTCCCAAAATTGAGTTTTGTCTTGGGTGTCAGAGGGGAAAATTAACCACCAAAAAGAGGGGAGAGAGTGGAAAACTGCTGATTCGATGAGATCCAAAAAGAGTGAGAAACGACAAAAAGCATGCATTTTATTCTAGGGTGTAGAATGTTTGATGCTAACTGGGCATCCATTCAACTGCTCTTTCTATAGGTAAAAAATCTAGGTTTCCTTGGTTGGGAGTGGAAAATTGTTCTTAAAAATTGGTGGTGAGAGTGGAAAATTAATTTCATTTGGATGTCGCTCCCACCTAAATTGACAAATTTTGGGACATTGAGCTTCCCGGGTCAAAATCATTCGACATAGTGCCGTAGTCCCGTTTTTTTTTTGTCATTATCGGGTCAATCCAAACATTTTTGTCTGAATCTCCGTCCGGTTTGCCGCTTCCTCGCACCTCATCATTCGACCGACGTAGACAATTCAAGCGACCCGGGAACACTTTCTTCATATTACGGCCCAAGCTCCAATGGCACCTTGTACTTCCGCCCGGGCCGCCGTGCAATATCTGCAGTGGTGACTGTCGGGTTAATTAGACCAGCTCTGGCCTTATGTCCGCCTGTCCACCGTCCGCCACCGGCGCTAATACAATCGTCCGTCCTGTCATCCGCCCGCGGGCGTGCAGACTTGATAGTCAGAATGCAGCCGTTGCCATGGCGATAGACGACTCGTCCCAGGCGCGTGGGGTGTTGAACACTACCTGGTTTACTTCCAGGAGAGACCGGGATGAAGGTTTGATTTGATTGGGTCAATGGGCTGAGAGCATAGCGTCGCAATCCGATTCGGAATTGGTGATGTCAGTTGTAAGACTGTTGTGTCTGGAGATTTGTTCCATTTTGTTTATTTTATTTTATTTTTGTTTTTGTTTTTTTATGAAAAACGCTCCTGAGTTGGGATATATCGACACCTTTTTTTTAAACCCCACATCTGCTCTCCCGTGAATTTCCGGGAGGCACGAAAGATCTCCTTTTAAAAGTGTCCAATCGTCCGATCCTGATCAAATATGTGTGTTCGTAGGCCTGTTCTGGTATTGCTTTATCTGCCAAGACAGACAAACTTGAGAAAAATCGAGTGATTGTACCGTTTTTGAAGGTCTCTAACCAACTTGTCTGAAATTCACCGGATAACAAATGTGGGGTTTAAAAAAAAAGGTGTCTATATGGCGTTTCACTGCACACACTGCTCGATTACATTCATAAGCTTGGGAGATAACAGGTTAGCAGGATCTGATTATGTAGATTCTGTTGGTGTATTCAGCACTGTCTGATCACCCCTCCTCCGTTCACAGGCGGGCCGAGTTCAAGTTCCCGCCGCAGTCGTCCTACCAGCGGATGCTGGTCCACCGGGCGGCGGTCTACTTCGGTCTGGACCACAACGTCGACCCGACCGGAACGTCTGTGATCGTGTCCAAGACGGAGAGGACGCGCGTGCCGGAACTCAGGTGAGGCAGAGAGTGGCAGCAGGAAAGAGGGATGGCAGTGGAATGACAGTGGATGAGAGATAGTCGGTGGAAGGGGATGAGGGGAAGGGACACTAGGAGTTTGCCTGAACTGCGGTTTTCGTGTTACTTTGTGGGCGGTATTTGTTCATTATTGCGAATAAGCGATTATGTGTGTGAAAGTATTGAGTAAATTGCTGCCTTTATTATCAATGTTATATATTATTCGCGATATGATCTGTCTATATTGCAGTGTTACACCATAATAGACCTACTCGTATGAACTACCGGGGTATCATGTGCCTGTTATTGGCGTCAGTCTAGTGTTTCCCCGTGCCGTGGTCCATCGATGATACACCGGTGAAGCTGTTGTGACGCTGGTGTCTGTCATTAGGTTCCGCGACCTGCTGCGAGACGACGGTGATGAACCGAAGCGGCTGCTGAAACGGGACGGCCTGCTGGGACACTACTCCAGGGTGAGTGGGGCGGGGCGCTGGGACACTACTCCAGGGTGAGTGGGGCGGGGCGCCGGGACACTACTCCAGGGTGAGTGGGGCGGGACACTACTCCAGGGTGAGTGGGGCGGGACACTACTCCAGGGTGAGTGGGGCGGGGCGCCGGGACACTACTCCAGGGTGAGTGGGGCGGGGCGCCGGGACACTACTCCAGGGTGAGTGGGACGGCCTGCTGGGACACTACTCCAGGGTGAGTGGGGCGGGACACGGGGACACTACTCCAGGGTGAGTGGGGCGGGACACGGGGACACTACTCCAGGGTGAGTGGGGCGGCCTGCTGGGACACTACTCCAGGGTGAGTGGGGCGGGACACGGGGACACTACTCCAGGGTGAGTGGGGCGGCCTGCTGGGACACTACTCCAGGGTGAGTGGGGCGGGACACGGGGACACTACTCCAGGGTGAGTGGGGCGGGGCGCTGGGACACTACTCCAGGGTGAGTGGGACGGGGCGCCGGGACACTACTCCAGGGTGAGTGGGGCGGGACGCTGGGACACTACTCCAGGGTGAGTGGGGCGGGACGCTGGGACGCTACTCCCGGGTAGGTGGGGCGGGACGCTGGGACACTACTCCAGGGTGAGTGGGACGGCCTGCTGGGACACTACTCCAGGGTGAGTGGGGCGGGACACGGGGACACTACTCCAGGGTGAGTGGGGCGGCCTGCTGGGACACTACTCCAGGGTGAGTGGGGCGGGACACGGGGACACTACTCCAGGGTGAGTGGGGCGGGGCGCTGGGACACTACTCCAGGGTGAGTGGGACGGGGCGCCGGGACACTACTCCAGGGTGAGTGGGGCGGGACGCTGGGACACTACTCCAGGGTGAGTGGGGCGGGACGCTGGGACGCTACTCCCGGGTGAGTGGGGCGGGGCGCCGGGACACTACTCCAGGATGAGTGGGACGGGGCGCCGGGACACTACTCCAGGGTGAGTGGGGCGGGGCGCCGGGACACTACTCCAGGGTGAGTGGGGCGGGACGCTGGGACACTACTCCAGGGTGAGTGGGGCGGGACGTTGGGACACTACTCCAGGGTGAGTGGGGCGGCCTGCTGGGACACTACTCCAGGGTGAGTGGGGCGGGGCGCTGGGACGCTACTCCAGGGTGAGTGGGACGGGGCGCTGGGACACTACTCCAGGGTGAGTGGGGCGACCTGCTGGGACACTACTCCAGGGTGAGTGGGACGGCCTGCTGGGACACTACTCCAGGGTGAGTGGGGCGGCCTGCTGGAACACTACTCCAGGGTGAGTGGGGCGGGGCGCTGGGACACTACTCCAGGGTGAGTGGGGCGGCCTGTTGGGGCACTACTCCAGGGTGAGTGGGGCGGCCTGCTGGGACACTACTCCAGGGTGAGTGGGACGGTCTGCTGGGACACTACTCCAGGGTGAGTGGGGCGGCCTGCTGGGACACTACTCCAGGGTGAGTGGGACGGGACGCTGGGACACTACTCCAGGGTGAGTGGGACGGGGCGCCGGGACACTACTCCAGGGTGAGTGGGGCGGGACGCTGGGACACTAATCCAGGGTGAGTGGGGCGGGACGCTGGGACACTAATCCAGGGTGAGTGGGGCGGGACGCGGGAACACTACTCAGGGGGAGGGGGTCGCTACTGCCGCTGAACTATCCTTTTCACGGATCGTCCCGTGGTACCACTGCTGCTGCTGAGTATACGACCACACGTGCAGCTCGCCTGCACACACACACATGTACACTTGGTGTTCAGTGGTGAGTCATCACTGCAGTCGCTAGCAGGAATATTTCATCACAAAACGGTGTGTGTTTTTTGCTCTAAACCACTGCTGACACTATTTTGTTCCATCAGACCACTTTGGTAGATGAGCTGAAGCCCAGCAATCGTATTCTTTTCTGTACCATTCCTGACATTTTTCAGCCGATCGCAAAATGTAATGTAGGATGAAGCTAATGCAGCAAAAACTAAATGTTTTATTGCAATCTTCTTAGACGTCTTATAATGTTTTTCAGAATGTCTCGTCCTAAAAGGTCCTATTTTTGGTCTGGTTTGCTCATTACAGTTTTTGTGCTATAGCTATACATATAAGGATTTCCGTCTTGGCGGCGCATAAAGTCATCATTGTCGTTTGCGTGTTACATTAATATCCTCGTAGCCACCCGCCAGGTCGGCGGTTACGTTTTTTATGACGTCCGACGGTAGCTGACTGTATTAACCGGTGTGTTCTCCATTTGGCAGAGTTTCGACAATCCCAACTCTCTGGACTCTCGGCGCAGTCGCAGCTTTGAGGAACGCGAGGTCGAGTACCGAAAGGCCCGCACCCGTATTTTCAACAATCAGCAGGTGGGCGCCGAAGGACGGGGAGTTTGCACTTCGAATTTTGGCCTTCCCGATTTTGAAACATATATTTTCTAGCGAATAATTAAATTTAGCGTATTATTTTAGCAAATCAAGGATGGTCAGCCTTTATCATAGTCAACTGACTTACACCCTCGCCTATCGTTGCGTAGTAGCCTAACCTCTCCACCCCCCCCCCCCCGCGCAGCAGGAGCTGGACGGCGACGGGTGGTCGGGTGACGGCCGGTCCGGCGGCGGCTGGCTGGACGCACCGCCCGACCCCTGCCGCCGACAGATGCCCTCCAAGGCCCACTCGGTCGACCAGCCGCCGCGCTACGCCCGCCTCAACACCGCCGACAGTCTGGACGCCAGCGGCAACTCGCTGCGTGTGGCCACCGGCGGCGGCGGCGGCATGCGGCCGCCGGGCGTCTCCAAGTCGCACAGCTTCGGCGGCTACACGGGTGCGGCGCCGCTGAGCCGGGGCGACAGCGCCGCCAGCGCCGGCAGCGCGCGGCTCGCCAAACAGGGTACGGACGACGACGGCCGGCGCGCGCGGGGGGGGGGGGGTGGAGGACGGGGTGTCACTGGTCAGCGCAGAACGGCACTTTGCAGCTGGATGTTACGGACAACTTAAAGCCATATTTGGAGTAATTGTGACTGATTAGGCGTATCTTGCAGGGGATGAGATGGGTTGGATAAAGCCATGGTGCTGTATGCTCATTTTCAATGATCTGGCACCATAGTGAGCGGAATTTACACGCCATGCTAGCAACACGGCCATTTCCTATCATAAGAACACCGCTTCGATTGCATTCGCCTAGGCCGAAACTTCCGCTTAATAACTAATAAGTAATAATCTCGAAGGATCGGGGAGAATGTAATTAATGTTTCATTAAACGAATATCAAGACCTAATTACATAATGCTGTGTAGCCGGTTCTTCGTTTTGCAGCTAATAAGAATACAGTATCATACCTCCTGGTGGTAAAGCCCGGTAGCTAGTATTGTTGCATCATACCCATCCCTGATATTTGATATATCCGCGTTCCACCGCGGCCACGGGACTTTCCAGAGCCAGTCGACTGGCCGCCTACGTGTGCCCGATTGTTTGAGTCGACTGTCATTGTGTGCCTGTCTGAACAGGCCAGCTGTTTGTGTACCAAATTGAAATTGAATCAATTCGCCATTGATGTGTGGCTGTGAGTTGGTGGACGTTTGTGTATGTCTGAATCAGATTAAAGTGTGCGTGTTTGGCTAACGAGCTTACCGTTTGTATTGTTTTTTGTCAAAGTTAGATGACTTTTGGAACAGTTGTGTCGAAATCAAATGAATGTTTGTGCCTGGGATCCACTGACCGCCCCGCACGTCTGTCTGTGATGGTCAGACTCTTCGGCTATAGGTTCGGGTCTGTCTGACTACACTGACCTCTCCGTCTCTCCTGTTTCGCTCAGACTCGTCTGCCAGCAGCGTCTCGCGCCTAAGTCCGTCCACCGGCCTGTACTTTCAATCGATCGAAATCCACTGACCTATGATCTATCTGTCTTTGTTCTCTAGACTCGTCTGCCAGCAGCGTGTCGCGCCTGAGTCCGTCCAGCGGATACAAGACGGCCTCGGTCAGCCAGGTGACCCTGGACTCGACACCGTCACCCACCTCACAGCACCAGGTACGTAGCATGTAACAGCAGGACAGCCACCGTTATATAACGTACCGCGTAACGGCAGGACAGTGCGGCTGCAGCTGCGTCATGTAACGCGTGAAGATAGGCCAGGCCGGTCACTGCAGCGTCATGTGACGCTGCTAACACCGTCACGTAACGGACTGCTAACTGATTTGACTGCAAACATTTACTAAAAGCGCCCAATGAGGGTATTCCTGCTTAGCAGTATCGGGGGCACGTTTCTTGTTCAATGCCCCTTTGCGACCTCTAACCCCACCCTTGGGTCTCTGATCGTCACAACACCCCTTGGTGCAGGTCAGGGTCCGCTCCCATTGGTCCCTCGTCCCTCGTCCCCCGTCCCCTACCGTAAATCCCCTCCAGCTCAGCACACAGTACGATCAGCACGATTAAAAGCGGCTCGGGGACCAACGCATAAGTGCCTGTTTTGCAGGACTGGCGAGGCCGTGCAAGCCTGAGGGCCTTTCCCGGGTCGTTTCGATTAATTGCCCGGCGTTCGGCGAAGTTACGATCGCTTGGAGTTGTTTGTGGGCGATACGCGGACATGTTTGTCCTTATTTGTGTGTGTGTGTGTGTGTGGAGGGGCGGTATATGGTATATACTTTGATCTGACTGAGTGACTCAAGATAAATACTGGTGACGTCTGTTTAGCTTAGTTGCCGGGTAACGTTGTAAGCTGGGGTTGATCGGATGTGGATTGGACGCCAGCTTATGGTTTTATATAGAACTTCTGGAAATAATGGTCGATTTGACAGCTTACGTTCTTTAGGCATGAGTAAGCCTGTGACATAAATTCCTGGCTACATTTAGTGCTGTTAGCAATTCTGAACGCACACAGTCGAGCGCATTGTCACACTGATACACCCTTGTCGTCCCTTCTTAGAACATCAGCAAACAGCTATTGCTAGAAGACAAGCGTTCTTTACCACACCACCTGATAAAAGTTATGTGTGCCAGCTCACAGTGCCGGCATGCATCTTCTGATGAGGGCGACGGCCGACCCTGACGAGCTGGGTTTTATTTCGGTAGCTGAAGGGTCACTAAGGTGGCTATTTTGATCAGTGGCCGGGTCGGGGACGGGTTTCTTGGACCACATCGTTATCGTCTGTGACGTCACCGCCCTCGGCCAACAGCGAGCGTGTGCTCCCGGCCGGACCTAGGGATCTGGTGCTCCCGGGTAGAGTGTCGAAGTGGAGCTGGTGCAATAGAGCGCTAGCAAACAGGATTGCTCGTACGAGGTTCAGAAAAGAAGAAAAATGTAAAGTGAAGATACTGAAGGTTTGGAGAATTCGCCTCGTCCACAGCAAAACTGCTTGGCTGAGTTTCCTGTACTTCCATTAGTTACGCACTGGGGCGTTGTTCGCTGTTCGCTAAGATAAGTTAGCTCTGCGTGCATTTCCATTTAACCGCTTATCAAGACAGCACAGCTTACACTGTATTACTATGACTGTATTACCGTACGACATTATTAGGATAAAGAATACGCAATATAAATGCAACATCATAATCTCATCACCTCATCAAGGTGATAAAGCTTTTCCACTTCAGTTCTCCAAAATCATTACTCCTCGTCGCTTTACCACCACTCCCTCCTTCTGTTTGCATTTCTGTTGCTGCTGCAGAGGCGCCGTGCAGTGCCTTACTAAATCACCGGCAGCCGGTGCGTGCGCGTTGTCATTGGTGTTTGGACGTTTGCGTGCGGGGGTGCGTGTTGGCCCTGAGTCGTGTGGGCGGCGGTTCGTGTTGGAACGACTGGCGCTGGTCTCTGAGTCATCGTTGTCGCTGCTGAAATCACCTGACGGGACTGAGAGAGGAAGGGGGAGGAGAGGGACAGAGAGAGGGAGAGAGAGAGAGGGGGGAAAGGGAGAGAGAGAGAAAGAGAGAGAGAGAGAGAGAGAGCCTGGGGTTGAGAGAGCCTGGCTCAATATCCGCACCGGCTGGATATTGAGCACTGGACATTCAGTGCTCTCCCGTCGTCTGTTGCCGTCCTATCCTGTCATCGTCGTCGTCCGCCGTTCGTCGTCACCGTCGCTGCTCTGACTCAGCCGCGCCGCGTCCCTGGGTCGTCCTGACGACCAGGCGAGCGGCGATCGTTGGCCGATTGGGCGGCCGCCCCCGCCCCCGCCACCGCCACCGCGCCGACGAGGCTTGGGAAGCCTGCTCGATGCTGTTTAGGCGACTGGAACCGAATCGTCGCTGTATAATTCGATTCGCAATCGTAGTGCTGCACCTTTCAAGCTAGTGTCTCAGCTCACCTTTGGTAGACGCAGGTATGGTAGACGGTAGTCAATTTCTGTTCGGAGTTGTTCTAGGCCGAGGCGACTGCTACTGTGTCGTCGGCCGTGCCGCGGTGGGCGGCGGCGGCCGACTTTGGCGACTAATGTGTGGCCGACGTCGGCGGTTAGTGCCGGTCGGTCGGACACGGTGCTCAGTTAGCGGTCAGAAATAGCCACACGCCGCCGAACTGTCGTTCAGCGTCGTCCCGTCACTAAGCCTCCCTCGCGCCGCAGTTCATTCTCCCTCAAGCTTCTAGTCCCGCCCTTTACCTGCCGTCCAGACCCCGCCCCTCACCACCTTCTGTCCAGCCCCTCGCCCCAATGTCGAGCACTGTCCTGCGTCTCAGCCGGTGTTCAGCCTCGTCATTCGGTCCACTGTCCGACCTCGCCCCTCACTCCACTGCCCAGTGGCCTGCCTTAACCAGCACCCGCTATCCAGTCCCCACATCTCTACCGCCATTCAGGCTTCGCCGAAGTCCTCACTCGCTGATTCAGTCCCCTTGTCCTACTGTCCAGCACCATGCCACCGCGCCCCTCCCCTCCCCTCCCCCGGCCCGCCATCGGCTCACCGTCGCTACCTGTGGCCGTATGCCGCCGTATCGGTCCCACCCGGAGCCAGGTGTCCCGTCACCGCCGCCGGACCGATATAGGACCTCCCACGCGCCGCCGGTGACTCGGGCGACCCGTCAGCCCGGCACGCGGCCGATGGACAGAAATACACACCCGGTCCCGGGCGACTGTTGTATCGCCGACGGCCACCGAGCCGGCGATGATGATTGATTGGATGGAGGGGTTATGGCGTGCGACGGGTGAATGACGGGTGTGATGGGTGTTGGGTAAGGTGTGTTGAGTTAGGATATTGAGTGGGGCAGTGGGGCGTGGAGGTGTTGGTGTTATTTGGGGTTGTGTATACAGTGAAGAGAGCGTGGGTAATTCGTAGTATGTGCCTGGCCTATGACTGGCTGCGTGTGTAGGATGATAATAAATGTCACAACATGATCTGGGTGAGTGTATAAGTCTGATTGTGTGCCCCGTCTGTCCATAGGCCGGGTACAGTCTGGATGAGGGCAGTGTGGCGTCCGGCGGCGGCGGGCCCAGCGCCGGCGGCGGCCCCGCGGTGGCCCCCGCTCCCGGCCCAGTCCGCGACTGTCAGCCCGTTCTCTGGGCCGTCACTAACCTGGAGGACGTCCCCGCCGGCTCCGTCATCATCGACCCTCACTCTGGCCAGCCGTACTTGAACCCGGACCGTACCGTGTACCGGTACAACCCGGCCAACCCGCCGCAGCTGGTGCCGGCCGCGGCCAGCCCGCCGGCGCAGCTGCAGGCCGCGCCGGCCGCCTATCACACCGCCAGTCCGCCGGCCTCCGTGCGGTTCGTCTCGCCGGGCGCGGACGGCCCGCCGGCGCCCGCGCCGCTCCAGTACGTGCCAGCGGCCGGCGGGCTGCAGTACGTGGCGCCGGGAGGCAGTCCGCCGGCGCCCGCCGTCCAGTACATGCCGCAGCCAGGCCCCGGCCCGGGAGTGGCCGGCTACTACCCCGTGGTGCCTCCGATGGCGGCGGCCGGCCAGCCGCGGCCGCACGCCGTCCATCAGGTGAGCACTAGAGCAGGCGGAGAGAAGAGAGTACTCAGAGCGCTAACAGATAGCGTTTCCAGGTTACTGACGGCTTCTCAGATTACTGGGGACATAGTTGTAGATCATTGACAGTAGAGGGATGGGTCTTCGGCTCAAGGACTAAGTTAAATGACTTTTTTGGTCACTGACGGTGAAGATAGTCAACGAGCTTCTCACGCTGCTAAAAAACGGGGAGTGGTTCCTTAGGTGACTAAGGATTCACGAGACGCATTCTGGACATTTCTTTGTCACGCAGCTTACGTAATTCAGCCACGAGCATGCGTGTTAGCTCGCGTGCTGTGTTGTGTGCCGGCTTATTAAACAAAGAACACTAAAGGTCGCTTAGTCGCAGTCGCGTGTGTCACATTGCAAACACAGCCTGCACGAGGATTGTCTGGTCAGCTCGTGGAATAGAGATCGAATACCTACTCTTCAAACATCCATGAGTAACGCAGTGCGTGACAGCACTGCAGAGTATCGCTCCGTTACGTGACACGGAGGTCCCCGTGGGCCACGACACGTGCCTGTGTGACATGTAACGCTCGCCTGCCACTGCCCACAGTGTGTCAGTAGGGCACATAGTAGATTTGCAGAAGCGGCATAACGTGTGACGGTCGTCACCGCTTCAGGATCAACATAAACTTGTTTGACGACTCCCAATACCTGCGTCATGCATGTGACGTGTGCTGCTCATGACCTTTTACAGACATCAGCGACGTGTTCTGTGCTCCATGTAGTATGCTAGCAATACCCCTTGCCTTTCACTCGTATTCTTTGCGACCTCCATATGCTCCACCTTCTTTGACCCACAGACCCCCACAGACCACGCACTATAACACTCTCCCTGCCCGCTGTTGCAGCCTCAGCCGTCGGCCGACAAGCCGGGCGGCGACGTGAGCCACCAGCTGATGGGTCTGACGCTGGCCGAGCACGGTCAGGGGGACGCCCAGCTGGCCGCCCAGCAGCAGCAGTACCTGCTGGCGTACCGGCCGGCCGGCGGGCCGCAGCCGGGACCGCCGCCGGCCGCCGGCGCGCCGCCCCAGCCGCCGCCGCCTCAGCAGGCCATGTTCTGTGTGCCGGGACCGAGCGTGCCGCTGCGCTACATGTACCACCACCTGGTCAGCCCCGACCAGCCGCAGCCGCAGACAGGTGCGTGGAGGGACGGGGGAAGCGGAAGGAAAGGGAGGGTGGAGGAGATTACATGAGAATATCGAGGGGGTGAAAGGACGACTGGGATGGGAGTGGGTGGAGGGAGACGTGAAAGAATCTGGATAGCATTGTCGTAACTCGGTAGGGCTAGTCCACCTGTAGAAGTAAGTGCAACGGTGACACAAGATCAGACCTTAAACATGGCTGAGCCTATGCAGGTGACTAATTTGAGAGTCATTCAACATTCATCCTAATGTAGATATTGGTTACACGTCAGCCCCTTAGCCTGAACACTCAGTAGCCTTCCAGTGGTCGAGGTCGTCTCCCACCCGAACCATTGATCGCCGCTCTCTGTCCCAGTCTGCGGCCTCTGAGCCGCCCTCGGGCCGCTTTCAGCCCGACTGAGTCTGTGCGTCGACTCTGACCTTTTCCCGCTCGGTGTGCGTGCGGCGCCCCCGCCGCTGCCGCTGTATTGACGTTCGCCCATCTGGGCTGCCCCGGGGAGCTGAGGGGGAGTCGGCGGGACTATAATGGATTGGGCGCGATGAGAGCTCTCTTAGAGCACGATTAGGACATTCAGACGGTCCCTTATCGCACAAGGCCAGGGCTATGAACATATGTGCATTTTGTAATGAGTAGATCAGCTGTCATGGTAGAGACTGCGGTATGGCTAGGCCTATGGCATGACCTATCTTATAACCGAATATCTCGCCTCACGAGGTCCCTCGTCTAACCGCCCCCATTTCTCTCGGCAGCGTACATGGGCGTGTACCCGGGCTGCACGACCATGTCGTCAGCGCCGGCGGCCGAGGCCAGCTACTATGTGACCTCGCCGCCGGTGACGGGGCCTCCTGTGTACCCGCTGGCGCCGTTCTACGGCCAGCAAACGTACCCGGTGCCGGCCGGACGGACCGCCTCTGACCCCACCGCCGTGTCACAGCAGGTCAGTGAGGAGGGTGGGTCTGAAGTGTCAACATAAGCGGCTATCATGATGGGGATTTTTTATAGAACCATTCTGTTTTTGTTTTGGAAGGCACGATTCTCGTATTTTTCTCATCGGCACTGTCCTTTGTCCCTCCCTTGGTCCCTGACTCGCGGTCCGTTCTCAGGTGCTGGGCTACCCGGCGGCGCAGTACCCGGCTCTGGTGTGTCGGCCGGTTGCTGTGCCCGGTACCTCCCCGGGTCTGACCGATCCCCCTTTGTGCCTGTCTCAGGTGCTGGGCTACCCGGCGGCGCAGTACCCGGCGCTGGTGTCGGCCGGCCCGCCGGTGGCCGGTCGGCTGGTGAACGGCGGCCAGCGGCTCCGCTCTGCCGAGTCGTGTGACGACTCGCTGCTGCTGCACCCGCACCCGCACCCGCTGGCGGCGCCGGCGCCGGCCTACCAGCGCACCATGCCGCTCAGTGAGTGCCAGTACCACCACACCATACCGCTCAGTACCACCCCCACCATGCCGCTCAGTACCACCCCCACCATACCGCCCAGTACCACCCCGCCATACCGCTCAGTGAGTACCAGTACCACCCCCACCATACCGCTCAGTGAGTACCAATAACATCCCTACCCCATCCCCATCATACCGCTCAGTGAGTACCACCCTCAGTCCATATCCGGCTTAGCAGCGCACCATACCGCTCAGTGAGTCACCACCGGCCGGCATGTAGTTTTTTTCCTTCTGGATGTAGTTTGTGATCAGAATTATCGATTGACCTCAGGTCACGCCGGGCCCACTCTAACGTTAGATGAACACTTCGAGTTTCGACGCTCTTGACCGTCCTCCACCCTGCCGCATTATTTTTGGGAAAGCTGCCTTTGACTATATCTTCAGAGACCATACAATTATGCACCCCTCTGCGCACCGCTCGCGCTTTGAAATATGCCCTATCAGAGCGAGATTTAAAGGCTTTGGAGCTATTTGGGTTATACGTAGTGGGCATCGTTTCTAATGCAGGTGCAGTCGTCGTCCCACATTACCCACATACATTTCCGAGGTTAGTTTGTATGCGCTAAAAGTACGTGGACTTCCGCGTGGCAGTTGCCTTCCGTTCTGGTCAGCGTTGTCGTGAATACGATATGAGGGCTACTGTTAAAATATAAACACCTATTGGGGTTTGTTACGGAGCGAGCGAAGCGAGCGGAGTCTTTCCTTAACGGAAATTTCTGAGTATGAGCGGCCGGCGGGCTGGCCGTGCGGACGCTTTTGCGAGGCTTATATCTCAGCAACCACTTGACCGATTTACACGCGATATTTTTTGTAGGGTAGCTTCCTTCCTTCTACCAAGTATTGGACTATTCCCGATGCATGTGGGTGACCCCTTATGCACGTGCCACGTGCAAAACGAAGAGGTGTCAGTTTTGTAATTGTTGCAATATCTCGGTAACTACTTGGCCGATTGCGCTGAAAGTTGGCATGTAGGTAGGCACCCACTAGGCACTGCATATCCATGTGCCAGAGTTGGGGTGCTGCTGCACGTGCGCACGTGCAGGGGTCGTTTCCAGATCTCGAGAACGGCTGGACCGATTGCGGTCAAATTTGGTACACGGTTAGGGACCAGTTAGTAGGGTGCCGTGCACAAGTCAGTTGGGACCCATTTTGCACGTGCGCACGTGCAGGGTGCCGCTTCCAGATCTCGAGAACGGCTGGGCCGATTGTGCTCAAATGTGGCACATCGCTAGAGACCGGTTAGTATGGTGCCGTGCACAAGTCAGTTGGAGGTACCCCCTCGAAATTTCGCACGTGCAAGGCCCACCCTCTCGTTCGCTCCGTTAGTCGCCCCAAAAGGCGTTATACTGGTCCTACGCTCTTGCCCGATTGACTGCTTAGTTTAGTCGATCGATCCCGAGTTCAACAAAGTCGAACGGTAGCTCAATAACAGATCAGCCCATTGGTGGATATTCGTATCAGACATCGGTCGTGTTAGTTGGTGACCTCTGTATTCATTGTCGTCAAACCTTGAATCGAAATCTAACATCTTAGCTGACCGACGCCTTTGCCTCCCCTTGGGGTACGCTTGATGACGCCCCTGTCTCGGCTGCCTCAGGTGTGTCTCTGATGACGCCCTCCCCCTAGGCGTGCACACAGTGACGCCCCTGTCTTCCCTCCCCAGGTGTGCGCCTGATGGCGCCGCTGCGCCAGCCTCCCCAGTCGCAGTCGAGCGCCGGCCGGCCGGGCCGAGCGCGTCGCAGCCGAGCACGGAGCAAGGCGAGCAGCGAGGGAACGGTGACGCCCAACGGCGCTGACACCGGTAAGAGAGGCGGGACGGGGGACGAGCGGGGAGGGAGAGGCTGTTCGTAAGGTCTTAGGGATGGTTAGGCATTGGGCGGTAAGGGAGAGATAGGAGGCCAGTGGTTGAATGTGTAGGCAAGTCGTAGGCAAAAAGACAGTGAAATATGTTATTCGGTTGGCGTCAGCAGTTAAAGTGCTCAAGAAATAGGTACGCTTAATTGAAAACTGCATGCCTTATAACTGGCACATGTGATGCTGTTTTCTCCGGCGCTGCCTGTTCATCGTTGGCTGTGCTCTGGGCCTGACTCCGCGCCGTTCCCCGCTCGCCAGGCGGCGGCTGTGTGCTGGAGGTGGACGGCGTCTGGCCCGGCCTGCGCCGCTGCGAGCTGGAGCGGCTGCTCGAGGAGCCGGTGGTGACGGCCGGCGGCGGCCGGCTCCAGTTCGGGCCCGGCTCGCCGCCGCCGGACGGCGCGCTGGCCGCCCACCAGCGCGTGCAGGCCGTGTTCGAGACGCCGGCCGGCGCCGACGCCGCGCTGCTGGCGCTCAAACCGGGCGGCCGGCTGCGGCTGCGGCGGCCCGACTGCTGAGCGCAGTGAGAGCACGGCCACAGGCAGGGACAGCTAGTCAGAGGGCCGTGAGGACGCCGCCAGCCGGCCCCACTCACGGCCGCCACGTGTTGCTGCAATACCGACCGACCGGCCGGGCGCCCACACACAGAGTATTACGGCGCGTCCCGAACTGAACAGGTGACCATCAGCCGCCGCCGGAGCGGCCTGCACGCACTGCCGCCGCCGGCCGGCCGCGCGCGTTGCCCACAGTGGCCGCTGGATATTTTTATACTGTTGGTTTTACATTGTGTCTCGCTCACCGCTTGCGCCGGCCGCCGCCGCCGCCAGCCGCCGCGCCGCCTCTCGGTTTTGTGTTGGGTGTCGCTCGCCGGCGCCCCTGTCCGCTCCCCCATGATCTCGGAGAGCGCGCCGCTTGTGCGCCGGCGCTTTTGACACAGCTTTAACGGGCCGGCGCGCGCGCGCCTGTCGCGGCGTGCCGGTCTGTGCCGCCGCGTCCCGTCCCACGTCCCACCGGCGCTGCCGTCACCGCGTCCCGCCGCGTCCCACTCTGTCAGAGTGTCAGAGTGCGCGCTCCGAGAGTGTGAGAGAGGTGTCGGATCGGCGTCCCAGAGTTCACCCCCCCCCCCCCCCTCCAATCGTCTAGTCGGGCGGCATCGGTCATGCATCGGATCTGTCACATTGATGTCGCGAACGATCGTTATATTGTTTCACATCATTTCCTGTTACAATTTTTTACTGTTCAACTGTGCGCGAGCCAGGAGAAAATGATAAACATTGTTCCACAAATGGCTGTTTTTATTTGGGGTTTGAAGGCACCGGTTGAACAAAGCACAGCAGCAGTGGGAAGAAGTTGACTCAACTATGCGATCAGGTTGATAGCAGTTCGGCTCTCCCAAGCGTAGGTCCCAGCTGCCACCACTTACATAGGCGGTCCAAACGACATGCAGCTCTCCAGCCTCGAACCAACGACCAGCGAGTAATAAGCCGGACACGCTACCTACTACCCTGTGTAGATCACACACTACGCACTGTATCCACCCACCTAAATTTGGTTAGTTTTGATTCTCGTGATCGGCATTCGGCACAGCCTAGCCTACAGTCCTAAAAGTATGTATTGTCCCAGATCAGAGCTATATAGGGCCCTGTGACGAGCGGAGGCACTTATTGAACGGTTGGATTGCGCCCTGCCATCTGGCGGACGGGTACCGTACTTGCATTGTGCATATCAGACACCAGACCGGGCCTATGAAATGCTCTACCAATGAGCGTTCAACCTGACTGAGGAGATTCGTTATTCCGGATATGGTTTATTTAAATTCCCCTTCATTCTGTAAATAGAGTGAATAACCTTATGCTCATGGTATATGTTGCAAATTGATATAATTAAAACTAAATTGATATATTTCGATATTGCACCGTCATCAGAATGATGACGTCACCGTCCCCTTCATTCTGTCAAATATATTCCGTGCTACGAGTTTTAAGGTCTCCTATAGTTAAATCGTTTTTAACGCCCATGGACTTGGATCGTAAGAACTAGCGGTAACAACAAATGGACTAGCAAAATTTGGGTGCATTTATTATTCCCATGAACAGCCCATCCACTTACAAGAGTGGAAAAAAAATGGTACCGCGCTTACCTTATACTCAGTGTGGCCGGAATCTCTACTCAGATGACCGCAGGACACTGTCGCCTTCCTGGGAAGCGGTCTGTCCCTCTGCACCTACAGCGCACAACGGCGCCCATCCCCATCCCCCACCCTGCACGATCAAACAACCACACAGCTACTGCAGCAACGACCCGGCGCCGACGTTAAAATTTTATTTGATAAAAACCATAGGTCCGACGGCTATCAACAATCAAACTGATGCTACACTTTGCGCCGCGCCGCCCAGCCGACGAGCAGCCGAGCCCGGCCACAGCCGACCGGCGGCGGCGGCGGCGGGGGCGGACCCGCCCGCCCGTCTCGGCGGCGGCGGCGCGCGCGCGCGCACGAAGGAAGGAGAGAGGTCTCAACAGAACACACCGTCCCTACTCGTTAACAGGCAAACAAGCCACTGCATAAGATGTGCCGGCGCCGGCCCCAGCCGCCCGGACGCGCCCGCCCGCTCGCCGCCACGATCAACAATCAAATGATCGATCACCACTATATTCGAACAACGTACTTCACGGACAATTTTGTGTATCACCGCTAAGATTTATTTACACAACAACCCTCATCGCGGGCAGCGATGCATCTAAATCATCCCTTCATAGAAAACAATCGACAGCGACCAGCACGAAGCATGCACATAACTAAAGAAAGGAATAAACACATACATGGGTGATGGCCGAGGGACCAGTCTGCCTATTGATGGGGCTACCCTCGACCCGGCCGAGGTCAGGGCCGGGGGCGGAGCCGTCACACGCTGGGAGCGCACCGACCCAATCATTCCGCAAGGTGAAAACGGGCGCCGCCTGCTTCCGCACACAAAGCAACCTCCTCAGAACTCGCAAAAGAACCCTGTACCACCAGTGTCTCTCGAGCGTCCGCGAATAGTTACCGTTGGCGGTCTCTATCATCAACAGCTTGCTGTAATACTGACGATACAATAAGACTGGAGACTGACAAGCTAGGACGATATACAGCTTTTTATACAGCTCTAGAAGACGGGCAGCGATCCTACAACAGCCCGCGCTCGGAGAACTAGGCGACAGCGCCGAGGCGCCGCCTAAATTTTCGCCGTAGCCGCAGCCAGTAACGATCAACGTATTGCTGTACAGATAATCGTACACGGAGACGAATAATTTCTCACGAGCTGACCCGGCCGTGATTGCGCTGACATGACAAGGGAATAGTAGAACATGTCCGTGAGGGAGAAAGCGAGAATGGGACGCGGCAGCCGGTGCGATGCACCACATCGACATTTAGTAGGAAAAATAAAGAACAACCGCTAGCAACATTTTCGCACCAGTAACAAAATCACTACAAACAACTGTCACCCCATTAGTCGCGATTTATGCAAGCACAGGCTGACTGTTAAATCCGAGGACTGAGATAAAACCACTGTCATTCCACAAGCTTTCAACACTGAACTAGTTAAAGAGTGGCTGCTAACTTCACTTGGTCATGTGATATATATGTATGCATATATATCGGTAGTACACTGCGGCGAGTCGGCGGCCGGCGCGCGCCGTCCCCCGGTCGGCGGCCGGCGCGCGTCGGGCGGTCCGGGCGCGCGCTCAGTCCGGCGGCGCGCCACGCGGCTCTCGTCCAGGGGCCGCTCTCTCTGCACACTGCACCACACGGCCACTCCTTATGTACACATCCAACGAGCTAGCGGGACGCCGGCCGGCGCGGGCCGCAGAGCGGCGGCGGCGCCGGCGGTGCAGCAGCCTCCGGCGGGCGGCCGGCGCACCAGGCGGCGCTGGCGGCACCCACCTCCGTCCCAGCGGCACGCGCTCAGGACAAACGCAAATGTAAGGCATCTAACGACAACGCTGAATAAGTTTCGTTGCTTTTAGCAGTATGTACAGATGCCGGAGACGAGTCTTCTCTCCCCCAGCGTTGCGTCACATTCACTTGGCGGCCGCGGTGCGCGCGCGCTGGCGCACGCTCGCGGTCACAGTCTGACGGCCGCGTCGCTCGCGCCCGGCACCGGCCCCGTCCACTCCCTGAGGAACCAACTCAAGAAAAATAACCACCGCTCTCACCGAACCAACGCAACAAGCCGGGCGGCGCCCGCGGGGCCGGCCCCATCAGTCAGTCGCACTCGCGGACACGGGCCGGGGCGCGGGGAATGAGACAGAGCGGGGAGCGGGGTCGGACAGAGTACAGGGAGGGAGGGAGGCGGTCTGGGCGGCCCTGGAGCGGGACGGCGGGCGCGGCGCGGCGCCGCGCGCTCAGCAGACAGACGGACGGCCGCCGCCGGCTAGACGGCCGTCTCCGTGTGGCTCCGAGACGTCAGACCGTCCACGTCGATCTCGGGGATTTTGAGCTCGTCCGGATCCGGACACATGTCGGCATAGTCGAGTGACGAGCCCTGCGACAGCCTCTTGGCCTGCTGGAAGGAACTCTGCTTCTGCAGCACTGCCGCCAACGTCGGGTTACCTGCCTCTGCCAGCCGAGAAACGTCAACGCCCTGGCGGAAGGCGTTCACTACGCGGATCTGAAACACGCACACAGGCGCGGGTCAGGCGGCGGCGGCGCCCGGCACACGACAGCCGCCTCAAGAGAGCATGCTAAGCACGGTGACCCAGTTACTGGTTAGAAGCCGTGGTGCCAGCTTTCCCCAGGCGCGGCGCCAAGAATCTGGAGAAGGAGTGGAAAAGGATAGATGCAGTTGCAACGTTACTTTAAATGATAAATGCTAACATAAAATACGGTAGGGAAAAGAATAAAAATAATGAGGCTAGGTCTGTGGAGAGCTGTCAATACTTAGTAATTACTATATATATTGATGGCAATAATGGAGATCAAGATAGTGAAACTGGGAAACTGGGATGCTGCCTACCTGTTTTTGCGCCGGGCCGGGCCGAGCCCAGTCCGGCGGCTGAGGCAGGATCAGGACACAGGAGCAGGACAGGAGCGTCACATGGCGGAGCTGGTGGTGGTCACGAGGCCGCCGGAGTCGGACTGGTAGTTGGACACCGCGCCTGCAACGAGCGGGCACACAGCGCCGTGGCCGCCAGCGCGCCGCCAGCGCGCGGCCGAGGATCGCTGGCACCCGGCGGCAACCCTCCCCCCAGCAACACCGAGCCAAGCTCAACGGAGAACACACCCGCCCCGCGTGAACCCCGCCTGCTCGTGACCGAGACAACGCAAACTTGGCAAACTGAGAGGCGACCCCACGTGAATTCGACAAGTTTCTCGAAGCAAATGACAATTAGCAACTTAACATTGATATTAATGTTACTCCATCAATAGCACATCACACCTACAGACGCACACCAAGGTGGCAAGCACAGAGCAGCGCCGAGCCACGCACTCGGCAGAGCCCAAGCCAGTAGTAGCGTGTGTATAAGCGTTAGTCCGCTGATTAGTGGAGAGCAGCACAACAGTGCGGCATGCTCAAAGAACGAGCAGTCGCAACCATAATGCTCAGCCCATGTACGTGCAGGATGCATGGAGAAAGTCTCTGGTGGACTGGTGGTCGGTCAGTGACGGTGGCCACTCGCCAGTGGGCGGCGAGCGGGCGCGCGGGGGGCCGGCGCCGCGCGGCGGCGGGCGCAGCGGTCAGACAACACGGCACAGACACACAGACGGGGGCGCGACGGGCGCTACAGTTCGACAGACAGCAGACAGCCGCAGAGAGACAGAGAGAAAGAGCCAGGGAGACAGAGTTAGGGAGGTAGAGGGCGAGGTAGAAATAGATGTAGACCTAACGAGAGAGTAGCAGACGGGAGAGCCAGAACCAGAGTCAGAAACCAAGAGAGTGAGTCTGAGGGGTCGGGGGACTAGTCACTAGCGTTGGAGGGCTGCGTGCACAGGCAGGCAGGCAGGCAGGCAGGCAGGCAGGCAAGCAAGCAAGCGAGAAGCCGTACACGGCCCATGCGGTCACTTCGATCGGGCGGGCGCGGGCGGGCGGGTCGGCGGGCTGAGAGCGTGGTGGGCGGGGCGGGCGGGCGGGAGGGGAGGAGCGGAGTGGCTGCGCGCTGGGAAGCCCTCCCAGGGGCCGGCATGCAGGCCCGCCGCCAGCGACGCCGAGCGGCGCTCAACTCTGCCTTAGGCGGCCGGCCGGCGGTGGGGCCGGCGGTGCAGTGTGTATCGACAGGACGGCGGCGGGGGGCGGTCGGTGCCGGCACGTCGGCGCAGAAATCAATAACTGGACTTTCTATTAAAAGATTTTCCAGCTAAACCTCAAATACTGTACGAATGTGAAATAACGTCCTAGAGAGATTGAAGTTAATTGAGAAAACGAAGCTAAGTAGCTGAAATTTAGCAGATTTTAGACAAAGTCGGATAAATCTACAGCAATAAGACTTCCATTCCCTTATTTTTTAAGAAGCTGCAAAGCGCTGTAAACAATCTACAGATGTGACTAAAACGTCGTAAAAGAAAACAATGTATCATGTAACAATTTAACTAAAATGCATGCTGTACCGATTTATAGGGTAACTAACAAAAACTATCCTTGTGGAAAAATTTCAAGGAGGCGAGAAAACGATAAACATACCTCCTTCTTTGTCAAATGGAACACTGTGTGTCCTGTATCTAGACGGAGGTGTTTTCAGTTTAGCTGCAGGACTGAATCGCCCTGCTCCAGCCACGCACAACACGCAGGCCTGGCATTCACTAACTGCATTCCCGATCGAGGCCGGACGCGCCGCAAGCAATTTTGCCGAGCCGCCGATGCGATCGAGCTACCGAGATGCCGGGTGCTCGTGGTCAAGGCATTCCTTGGATCCAATGCAGTTGGACAGCGCGCGCGCGCGCACGTCCTGCGTCTGTACATGACAAGACATGACAGCATGTTGGCTCGTGCCCGCCGCCTACAATCCAAAACAAAACCAGCCTCTGAAATACTACAGAGCTGCCACAATTTACAACCAAGAGAAAGAGACACGACAACAGATACTCGGCTAGAGTTACCATGACCAACCAGGCAACAGTAAATAAGAATATATCGAATGATGCCAAGTCTTACAGCTTGGTCTGTGGCGTTCTTGCTGTACGGTACGGGCATCAGCCGCCCCT